TAAGCGGCTAGCACCAGAGGGCCCGTTGCGTTCTGGTCAGCATTTTGCAACTTTTGAGAAAAGTGGATGAAGACTGCGCCTTCCTCTTTGTCAGCCTCCTGGTTAGCACATCGCCGAGCACAAGCCAATCCCCACAAAGCAACAGTGGCCGCCAGAGGCACCCGGGCCGGAGGGATGGCATCCCCGGCGGAGCTTCGCGAGCCACGCACTCACGCCCCTGAGAACACGCTCATTCCCCGGTGCCCTGGGGACCCGCTGACTCTACACAGGGGCCTGTGCTCACAGCCTTGGGAGGCAGCCCTGCGGACACTGCGAGCCAGGGGCCAGCCTGGGACGTGCGCGGCCTTGGCTGCTGATAAGAACACAGCACCATGCACCCGGGCCTGGTATGGCGCTGACCCAATTGGTCCAAATGGCGCTCTGTGCTGATAACAGTGACCGTTGGCGAGGTGCCCTCGGCGCTCAAGCTGTGTTTTGGTCCCAGGTCCCTGGGATTGCCTTGACCCATGGCCTTTACCAAATTGATTGTGACTAAAACTACATCGTAAGGGAGAAACTTTAGGAAGACCAAGGTCCCTCCTACCAGATGGGGGATGATGATAATGATGATGATGATGACTTTGGAATGTCAATGTGAGACTACTGCTTTCCATGCTTCCTTTGTGCCGCCCCCTCTTCTAAAAGTGACAGAGCATGCCTTTATTAAGAGTTATTAACACGTGTTAAAGTGAACTTTGCTTAGTGTCTTCTGTCCAGATTTGAGGTTCTCACACTGTATGATGTGTGAAACCCGCCCAGGAGCGTGTTAACAGGGTCCTCACCTCCCACCTGGAGGCAGAAAGTCTAGGAGCTCGATTCTTAAATCAAAGCCCCCAGGCGTTCCTCGTGGCAATGGTTGGAGCAGGCCTGGGGAACAGCCTCTAGTCCGGCTCCAATCAAGCTGAGCCACCAGGAGCCGTTTACCGGGCCAGGACTCAGGCCCCTCGGATTAAGATCGATGTCACTGAAAGCCACTGTGAGGTACATCCATGTCAGAAAGAGCCAACCCGTGAGATACAGACCTAGACATACAGATATGCACACCAGATAGACAGACAGACCGATGACAGTCAGATGGTATAGATCCATAGGCAGATGAGAGAGAGCTGATGATAGACATATGGTACAGACAAATAGATGACGCAGAGACAGACAGATTAAAAGTACAGCTGTGACTCACTGTGTAACTAGAACGCTTTGAGAGGGAGAGGCACAATCCAACAAGTTTGCCAGGGCAACAGGCATAAGCCAGGGCCTCCCACAATGTCCGGTGGCCCTGCCAATAAGGGCTTTCCTCGTGACTTTCCTGTAATCGTCCCGTAACAAACCAAGGAACGCATTTTTCTCTTGACTCAGAATGGATAGCTGGGCTTCCTCTTTCCCACATTAGTTTTTTACCTTATGGACAGTGAGTCCTGAGTCCCCTCTGCACTGCCTGCGGACACCTTGGAGCCAAAGAACACGCACTTTATAGCTCTGGCGTTAAGGACGGCATCACAGGCGGGGACACTGAGAAGTGAGGGAGCCAAGTAGAAGAATGCCCTCTGAGCACAGACAAGGCCCGGGCCTGCTTTTGTGCCATTGTGTCTCCCGCTGCTCTCTGGCCAGCGCATCTCAGGACTGTTGGTAGCTCTGGGACATGAACGTCGGTATGTAGTTGCTTGATGGTACAAATACTTAGAAATAATGTTTTTCTCGAGCTCTCTTTATGATGTGCACGCATAGGTGTTAATCAAAGCATCTAATTAGCACAAACTACATAAACCATTCAGACCCAGGTCTGGAGAATTCTCTCTCTGTATGCAGAGCACTCTGTGCCCAAAATGTGCCTGAGGGAGGCCTGGATCCTGGAGCGAGGGTGGAGGTGGGGGTGCAGGTGCAGGTGGGGGTGCAGGTGAGGGTGCAGGTGCAGGTAGGGGTGCAAATGCAGGTGGGGGTGCAGGTGCAGGTGGGGTGCAGATGCAGGTGCAGGTGGGCGTGCAGGTGCAGGTGCAGGTGTATGTGCAGGTGCAGGTGGGGGGTGCAGGTGTATGTGCAGGTGCAGGTGGGGGTGCAGGTAGGGGTGTAGGTGCAAGTGCAGCAGCTGACAGAGTGGCCTCAGGTCCTGCAACCTCAGGGCCACGTTGGGGAATGATCTGGATTGTGCAATGCAGCTGTGGTGTGCATGCACGCATGTTCATCTGTGTGTCTGTGTATGAGCACAGATACATGAAGCTTGACCAATAACTGAAAGACACAACTTGCAAAATCAGCCACAATTAACTCTCTTACAAACACTATTAACTGAATAACTGCCCGCGCTCGCGTGAAGCAACCCCAGGCGGGAGCAGCTGAAAGAGGACTTGCCTCAGGCGCTGAAACCGGCCTTTACACAAACACTCTGAACCAATCTGCGCGCCAGCCCTCCGCCCACCCCACCGGCGATGGATCAGAAATGGTGGCCGCTCAGACTTGATTAAACTGGCTCTTTGCCACTTGCCCGTGTGAACATCTCTCCTGGTTTCTAACATTGTTCTCAACAAAGAAAGCCTCAAGTTGGCCCATCGGAAAGGGTTTGGGTGACATCAAAGCTCACCGATGGCAGGACAGAACCATGACCTCACTGGGCAAAGGATGTAAGTGGCACCAGGTCATCTCCCGGGTCTGTGATTCCATGAGGAACCAAGACAAGAATTTTCTTTCTTTCTTTTTTAATATTTTCATTGATTTTTAGAGAGGGAGAGGGATACGTGATAGAAACATCAATGAGAGAGAAACATGATTGACTGGCTGCCCCCTGCTGCCCCCTACTGGGGGTCAAGCCTGCAACCCAGTCATGTTCCCTGACTGGGAATCGAACCAGTGATCTCTTGATTCATAGGTCGACGCTCAACCACTGAGCCATACTGGCCTGGCAAGACAAGAATTTTCAATGCAGACCTTTCTTCAGACTGATTCTCTCATTTTAGAAATCAAATGACTTTGCTTTGCCTAAACTGAAGCAATTCCATTCTTGAGGAGGAGGTGGTGAGGTGGGCTTGGGAGGGAGTCCCCTGGGTTTCCGCCTCATTCTGTCCATATCCAGCCGGTGCCTGTGGCGCAGCAGCCCTGCCCCCCCACCTACCCCCCAGCACAAGCCTTTCTGAGACGCCACACATGCAGGATGGGTACCATGGCCTGTTCGTTTCTGTATTTCCCCCGTTCAAAAGGAGATGCCTCCTGGCCCAAGGCACAGGGGCAGGTGACACATCTTGGGTGTGCACCTCAGTGGCCATGATCAAACCAAATACATGGCATCTGTATAACTGTCCACTGTGCATCCATCATCATCAAACCTGTTTGACCCTCGCCAAAGGCACATGTGTCCTATGAAAGTCTTACAAGGCGCTTCAAGGTCAGGGATGGCCACCAAGGACAATCCTTTCCACACCAACTGCATCAAATCGGCTTCCTAGTTTGCCGAGAGCCACCAGTGACAAGCCTGCAGAGAAACCGAGCCCACGAATCCAAGGCCAAGTGCTCTGCTCTCTCAACTCTCCTGTTTGGAAGGAGATAAAACCCCATTGGACGTGAACTTCTGCAGAGTAAGGGGTGGGAGTCATACCACGGAGAGGACTTGAACCTGCCTGCTGTCACACTGCCCTGGATGGAGGGACAGCTCAGTTCACACAAGCATCACCCCTGCATCCCTTTCAGGACCTACCACGGCCACATAGAGTAGCCGGCGCATGCACCCGGAGGCCAGGCTTCCTCCATCGCTCACTCTTCCCTCAGCAACATTCACTGAGCACCGCCCACCTGCGGGCACTGCACTGACCCACAGGAGACGGGCCTTCGTGGGGCTGATGCTCCCTGGAGGGAGGAAGGAAATAAGCAAACGCCCACCTCAGTGCACTGTACTGACAGATAGGAATGGATGCGCTAAAGGAAAACAGGGGAGGGGGACAGAGAGTCCCGGGGGGCAGTGGGAGTGACTGGATGGGCGTGACAGGAAGGGCCCCTCTGAGGAGGTGTTTGCACAGCCCCGGGAAGCACCCGACTACCTGGAATCAAGGGTCTCCGGCTGAGCTGACAGCAAGTGCAAGCCGCCAGGCAGAACGGCAGGGTGACCAGATGGCTGGAATGAGTAATGGGAGGCGCCCACAAGGGCTACTGTCAGGAGCTGAGATTTAATCCCACACCTAATGGGAGAGAACGAAGGATTCGGGCAGATCTGTTCAAATGCCAACGTGGCCTCCACTGAGCTGTTTGCCCCTGGAAAGGTCAGTTGATCTCTCCGACCTTCCTTTCCTTTCCCTCCTGGGAAATGGGGATAAGATACCTGTTTCCCGGGACGACGTGACATGCTGTCCCCCCATCGCTAAGGAAACGCCCTGCACAGAGCAAGGCCCGCGGGCAGGGAGGGGGCGGACGCCGATGCTGCCGTCCTCATGAGAGTTCTAGGTTTACTTCACCCAGTTCCTCCCAGGAGCTCTGAGTCCTCCGTCCTATCACCTTTAGTTTCGCTAAATAACTAAGTTCCTGGCATTTTCCTCAAACCCAGGGTCATGCTCTGGGCTGGGTTTGGAATGAACTCCGGGGGGAAGACCTCCTCTGGTTCTGGAATCTGTACTGTAGGCCAGTGAGAGTGGCGATTTAGATTCTACGGGCCAGCAGCGTACAGCTCCCCACTGTTTATTTTCCCAGGGAAAGAAACAATTTTTAAAAAACCAGCAAGGCTACCACCTGTTAAAAATAGCACTTCATAAAAGAAAAGATATTTAACACCACATAATCGCAGGGAAAGGGCAACTCCTACCTGTAGGTCACTTTCCATGGACATTCTCCCCCCCCCCCCCCACACACACACACCAGTGAACATTTCACTGTCTGTGCACAGACGCCTGCTGGCTCCCATGTACAACCCCTGTTGTAGACCAGGGAGGGGGCGGACGCCACGGGCAGGAAGGACAGTTCGGGGACACCTGGGAAGGGCACCTGACCTGCTGGGACGATGACTCTGCGCTCGCTCGTGGTCATGTTCGGGGGCGGCAGGTGCTTCTCCTCCAGGTAGCTGCCGTAGCTCATGCCCACCTCCGGGCTGCCCACCATCTTCCCGCCTTTCACCACACTGCACTCATCGGGCGAGTTTCTGGTGGAGAAAGAGAAATTGCTCCATTACTGTGGCAACTGGCAACCACGCTGCCCTGGCCCTGCCCTGAGACAGAGGGAAGCGGGAAGGTGAGGTGGAGGTGACTGGGGAGAAAGGAGGAGACATGACCATGCAAATTCAGGGCCCGCTAGGGACTGAAGGTATGTCCCCCAAACTCCATATGTTGACGTCCTAATCCTCTAAATGATGACATTTAAACATGGGGCCCTTCTTTCTTGTGTTCTTTTTTTAAAAAAATATATTGTTATTGATTTCAGAGAGGAAGGGAGAGGGAAGAGAGAGAGAAACATCAATGATGAGAGATGCCCCCCAACCCGGGCATGTGCCCTGACCGGGAATTGAACCACCACCTCCTGGTTCATAGTTGATGCTCAACCACTGAGCCACGCCGGTCAGGTGGGCCTCCTAATTAAGTTTAGATGAAGATGCAAGGGTGAGGCCAACGTATTGGACTCGTGTGTCCTTATGAGAAAGAGAGGAGACCAGAGAGCTCGCTCCGCCCCGTAAGAAGCATTGTGGCCTCGGGCTTCCAGTCTCCAGCACTGGAAGGAATCATGTCTATTGTTTCAGCCCCTCTGAAGCACCCAGGCTCGGGCACAGCCAGGAGCGGGCACATGGGAGCGGGCACGTGGGAGCAAGGCTGCCACCTGGCTTCTATTTCTTCAGCAGCTCCTCCTGAGACTGTCATGTCAAAACTCCATCTGCAACAACGGATTGGAAACACGTGCAGAAAACGGTGAACTGCCGTTAGTTCTCACTGCGTGACAGTAAACAGGCCGCGCAGACAGATGCTGGAGGGACGCCGGCGCCCTCCGCCAGGCTCAGCCTAGAACCAAGTTCCTCTTTTTCAAAACCTCAGAACACCATCCCCGTGTGGAATGTCAAATTCCAATTTCACACCCATCTTTAGTTATGGGACTTTGAACTTCACGATGTCCCCAGCTCGGGTGCCAGCAGGCAGGCTGGGAGGGCCGGGCGGGCACCCTGGGAGGCAGCCCTCTGGGACCCTGGGTGGGGGGCATGCAGCGAGCTGTGAGGATGCGGAGGGACCCAGCCGCTGGCCCCCGGGGACAGTTCCCAGGGCTGTGTGACAGTTTTAAGGACAGCCATCAGGATAAGGCAGCCACAGCCATCAGGATAAGGACCGCCTGCCTTGCTGGAAAAAGAAAAACGGGAATTCTTTTGAGATTCAAAAGTTAAAGGATTTGGTCCAATCATATTAATAAGGAAACCCCAAACAGAAAATCTAGCTTAACCAGGAAACAGAAAAATGTGTCAGATCCTTCTGAGAGGTTCACCCAAGGATGGCAAACCCAGGATCACTGCAGAGGCGTCTTCATATTCAGGTTATGCCTTCGCAGGTGGGTTTCTAGACATGGCCTCTCAACCTCAACCCTACACATGCTTTTTCATTTTCTCAGGACACCCCGAGGCTCCACTGGATTTTAGACTTCCTCCCCGTGTCCAAGGCCTGAGGGTGTGGGTGTCCTCCACACTTTGTTACTGGGGGATGTGCAGCCACCCCGCATGAACTTGACCTTCATGTCTGAGAAGGTCACAACCAGCCAAGGCAGAGGTGGGATGCAGAAGGTCATTCCAGACCCAAAGGCCATAGCGGGGGAGTGGCCAGGAGGGGCAGAGAGAATTCCCTCGGCATCTGGGGACTTTGAAAATTCAAGTTTGTTCCCAGCCCCACTTGCTCGTGTGCCTGGGTGCTGATGGAGGGAGCTTGGGCCGGCCCTGAGTAGGAGCAGTGGATGTCTGTGGATGGAGGTTGCAGTCGGGGCCACCCAGGCCTGAGGCTGGACCATGGGCCTGGAAACACCCCGCCCTGCTCCACGGCATCCTCGCAGCTGTACTAACATGAAGGAACTTTAAAAATAATAACGGTCTGCGTTCCCATGGCGAGGACCCGAGGAGTTTCCAGCGCTGCCTACACATGCATTATTTCCTCTTGATGCAGTTTTTCCTGGCTTCCCACGTTTATCTCCGCAAGACCCATCCTAATATCAAAACACGGAGTGTCTTCGCTTGAGCCTTGGCTTCCTATCCCTCCGGAAAATTCCATCCGTTGAGCGGAAGGTATGTTTGGGTCTACTTGTCTCAAGGAGAGAGAATTACTAGGGGGGAGAGCTACAGGGAACTGGTTTCTCAGGGAAAAGACTAGATGCGACTCAGGTGAAGTGAATACCTCAGTGACAACCCTAATGTCCAGGGTGAGACTGTTGCAAGTCCTTCATGCACTCGGCTATCCAGGCCACCGTTTAAACAATATTTTTACTGATTTCAGAGAGGAAGGAAGAGGGAGAGAGAGGGATAGAAACATCAATGATGAGAATCATTGATCGGCTGCCTCCTGCACGCCCCCTACTGGGGATCGAGCCTGCAACCCGGGCATGTGCCCTGACTGGGAATCGAACCGTGACCTCCTGGTTCATAGGTCAATGCTCAACCCCTGAGCCACACCAGCTGGACCGTGCCATTTTTATTGAGTGCCTGCTGTATACCAGGCCCCCTAAGTTCTTTCTTCTCCAACAAAGCAGTTACCTACCTAATAAGTGAAAGGTCAAAGAGATGTATAGAGTCACAGAAATAGGAGACTTGGGGGTTGTGGACCCTTCAGACCAATGCTTTCATTTTCTTCTAATTCTTAACAGTTTCACCTCCGTTATCTGAGGACACGTGCTCTGGGCATGGGTCACAGTAGTTTTCCCACGGCTTTAAAACAGAACCCCCGTCAAATCCAGAGGCGATAAGCCCTTAACTCGCACTGTCCAGCGCTTTCCAAAACCGTGTGCAAGTATTTAAAGTCGGGGCAGTTTTAGCGAAGTTCGTTTGTTTTCGTGCTATAACCACAAGACATAATTCATCGCCCGGAGCTTCCCCATGCCCGCTGTCGTGGTGAAACAGGCCACCAGAGCCTCATGTCAACAGCCGCACCTTCAGGACAGTGAAAGCACAGTCCTTTCCCCACTGTGTCTTGTTTTAGCTTCAGAGGAAGAGAGAATGGAGCTATGCTTTTGACCATTTCAAATAGCTGTTGTAATAAATCTACGGGAACTCCAACCACAGAGCGGGGAGAGGGTCGCCCGTGGGGCCGCCTGCTGGACTCAAGGTCGACATCGGCGACAGGGGCCCAAGGCGTCCTAGTCTCAGTTTTTAGTCATCCCCCCCCCCCTTTTTTTGACTCTTGGAAGTTTCAACAGCAAAAGAGTGGCGTCTATCGTGCGGGCCCTGTTCTGAGAGGGTAGCAGTGGGCCTGGGGTGGTGGGGGCAGCTCAGCCCCTGTCCGGAGGTGTGGACAGGAGAGAGGGGCTCGCTCCAAGTCTCAGAGCCAGGGAGACGCAGAGCCAGGCTAGAGGCTGGGCAGCCTGAACGCACTGTCACTGCCTGGCCCCTGCCTGCACCAAGGAAAGGCGGGATGCTCCCCTTAAAAGGTAAAGGAGCCGGCCGGTGTGGCTCAGCGGTTGAGCTTTGACCTATGAACCAGGAGGTCGAGGTTCGATTCCCAGTCAGGGCACATGCCCAGGTTGCAGGCTCGATCCCCAGTAAGGGGCGTGCAGGAGGCAGCTGATCAATGATTCTCTCTCATCATTGATGTTCTCTCTCTCTCTCTCTCTCTCTCTCTCTCTCCCTTCTCCATTCTTCTCTGAAATCAATAAAAATATATATTTTTAAAAGGTAAAGACGATTGTAATTTCAGAAAGGCATCAAGAACTCCCTGACCCACGTGTCACTGGGCTTCAGCACTGCAATGCACTTGCCATTCCTATTCCAGGCTGCCATCCCCGGGGACTGCTCCTCCCCCCGCACGGCAGGTGGCAGACACACCCACGAGGTGTATACACAGACATAAGAAACAGAGGCAATTCCTAGAGAAGCACATTTTCCAGGGATGTCCATTAGGCACGGCTTTAACAAAATGAAACCTGAACGTGACTCAGAGAACTGGAATTACACACTTCAAAGCCTCCATCACTGCATTTTCATCTCTTTGCCCAGGTGTGGGGAGAAGGGATCCACACTGCGGGAGGCCGGCCTCTTTGCCGACTGCCCTGTACACGGCCATCGCGCATTCTGATGCGAGTCACGGGGGGACTTCCCACCACAGCCCGGGGTTCCGCCTGCACCGGGCCCTGCCTGGAGGGAGGGCCACCCGTTCTCCACTCTGACATCACAAGGGTTTGCACATTCCACGCATGGCTCTGGAAATGCACCCGGCAAAGAGCACTCCTTTACGTCCTGGATTCTTAGTATTCACGTAGGTGCTTTCCAGCAGCGGCTGTGAACATGCCAACGCAAGTCATTAGATGCTCGCTGAATGGATACTAACTGGCGAATGTGAAGTGCCTCTGTCTTACTGTTTGGGGCATAAATGTCTTTACTGCAAATAAGCGCGGTTAAGGTATTTCTCCCAGACTCTGAAGAGCACACGAAAGTTATTATGCAAATCAGAACCACAGTGAGCTGTCACCTCACACCTGTCGGGAGGGCTGCCATGCTAGGGATGGCTCCAAACTCCTTTCATGTAATATTTACATGAGAATAAATAGGTGGGTAAAGCACTTAAAATGCTGCCTTGCACACACGGTAAACACTGTGGGTTAGCTGTTCCTATCCTTTCCATCAACACGCCACCATGAGGTCAGTACCTGCAGCAGGGGTGCTACAGGTGAAGCCCAGGTCACATGACCAGCAATGAAGGCGCTGGATTGGAACCTAGACCACGGGGGCCCTCAGTCCGAGTACTTGACCCCACACTATAGGATCCCACCTGGTAAGGCCATGCGAGTGGCCTCTTTCCCGGACATAAAACACGACTGAATGGCCCCTCAGAAGACTCGGTGCAGGCTGCACTCGGGAGGGTTTTCCCCAGGGCATCCTGGGAGGGGCCCTGCAGACAGCCGTGGAGAAGGCACATGTGAACTCGACAGGGGAGGCGCGCTGTTTACTTGGACACACACGTGAATTGTGGTAAG